GAACCAGGGATATAATTGGGTTCTTTGCTCATTAAAAATACTTTTTAATGTCCTGGTTTTGGGGGTATTAACCCACAAGTGCAATGTAACAGTAATATTTCCCTGCATATGGGGGAATGTTCAAAACAGTAAGCTTTTTTTGATGGGTCAGCTCTGCTGACAGCTATATAATGCTGAGCAGTGCTGACCAGTGATGCAGCGTTGCACAGCACTCATGTAGATCTAGTCTCCAGGTGATCTTCTTATTTTTCTGAAAAATATTGTAAGATAAGATGTCTAAATATTTCTGCATATTATCTGTTTTACAATGTGAATGCTAAGTTTCAAATGAATTAGATTTATTAAGAGGTCAAATTCTGCTGAAGAATTTACCAAGATAATTTTCACTGATGTCACTGAATTTAGATGACACCTCTCATTTTCTATGTGTTCCCTCTCCTCCTCTATTTTTCCCTGCAGAAAGCTATATTTCCAATGTTTTCCTCCTTTGGTGGGGCAGTGCCCCCTTTCCTGACAACCCTGGTACGCCCCACTGTCTTTGCAAAGCTCATGTGAGGGAATGGTGTTAAAATGACGGGGCTGGGGGTACGCATACCTGTTGTGGCTAAATTGGGTGCCTGAATTAATAAGTGAGATGACATGTAATGTCAGTGGAGATGAACCGCTTCTTTAGAAAGAACCAGAACACAAGCCAAGTGTTCACTTTGTAGACAGAGTCACCACCTGATTTGTGCACCTATGTGTCTAAAGCCAGACGGTGGTAATACTCCCATAAAGTGCCATTTTTGATAGAAATTCTCTATTTTGGTTTGCTATTTGGTTACCTACTCTCATTTTCATGCTCCCTTATCTACTGTAGCTCCTCTGCCAATCTCCATCTTTGTCCAATCTTCATCTGTGCTTATTTTCTCATCTTCCTCTTATCCAAAATGCAATTTATCTTTCTGATTAATGTTTCTGTTTTCAGCAGCCAGGTCACTATTCAGGTGCCTGGGCACTTAAATAGCTGTCAAAATTGCTTGATTCAAGTTTCTCTGGACCAGTTTCACTATTCAAAAGTAGAAACATACCCAGTTAAAAAAAAATTAAAAATTAGTGCCTTACTCCCAACTCTTTTTTTTTCTTTTGTGTGAGTGTGTGTGGTTTGCCTTCCTATGCTTCTAATTTGTCTAATTCTTCTCTGACATCTTTTCACCTGATTTCCATCAGATTCTTCCTTTCAGTCTATTATATTTCTTTCATTTTTTTCACATTTCTGTAAGCTTCAGAGAGAAGCTATTCTGGCTTTTTTTTTTATTTTTTTTTTGTGATCTTGTCTACAGACTTCCTCCTTCTACTAGCTTTTTCTTCAGTGAAAGAAAAAAATTATTGACTTCCATTTTCTATATTAAAAAGAAAACATGTATAAATATTCTTTGTTGTATAAATAAATATTCATTATACTGCAGTAAGGAAAGCTACCTTTGTAGTACAACATTAAAGCAAATATTTTATTTGTGTTTAAATTCATATTTTGAATAAAACCAGAATTTCAAGTAAATGTTTGCATAAGTTCATTTCAAGAAATCACAATTTTTTCAATTAAAACTTCATATTATTTAATATATGTCTGGTTTGAATCTAGGGTTTCATTTGTTTGTTTGTTTATTTGTTTCAGTCCCAAACTTTAACTACTATTTTTGCAAACAAATGGCTCCATAACTCAAGGTAAACAAAATTTTCTTCAAAAAAATCTAGTGAGAGTAAGTTTGCTATATATCATCTCTGAA